TATTTTGCATTATCATCCGTCGTGCCGTTAGCGGTATAATCAAAAGTAACCGAGGGATCAACTGATCCTTGCGTCCCACTACAAAGAGCGCTAACTTGAACGGGAAACAGCTTGGTAGCGTCTGTTCCACCATAGGCCAAAATTGATTTTTGATCAATGAGGGGTGGATAGTGACGAGGAGCGAACGAACTCAACAGGTAGACTTCCCCGCGAATCGACACGTAGGTGCTGTCAGGACTATCCTGGAAATTGTGAGATTGTACCTCGGAGTCGTTAAATATGTACACCCGTGGGCAAATTAATAAGCCCAAGAACGCGAGGACAAATATCACCACACATGACAAAAACAATATGACAATACATAGTGCAACTTTTTCACGCCATGCCATTCTAACGTCTTTACGTTTCATGCCACAACAGCTCAAGAAACAAGAAGGAATCCACCAAGTAAGTAGCCATGTGAGGAATACCCATTTCTTACGTGCTGGCGTGGTCACACGGGGTTCTTCAGGTTCCTCCTCTATCATCTTCTCCTCATCAGGTAACATATTTTTCCTCTCCATCTCCATGAACATATTACGTGATGGTGCATAAACATCGGATCCGTATGTGGAAGTGTTATCGTCATATGTGCTATAGGCTTCATCCTGATAATAGTCGTCCTCGGAAAGGTTTGAACGATTGTCGTCTCCGGAATGGAAAGATCGTTGATCATAATTCCTTGGCGGAGAAGCACGACGAGGCTTCTCCAATAAATCTTGATTTGAAGAATGCTGATTCTGATATAGTTGATCCTCGCTACGCGCATAATCATTTGAAGATACCACGGGCGTTTTCTTTTCTTTTTTCCGTCGTTTATCATCGCTATCCATGCTCCTGAGATCGTCCTCTAGCTTCCGCCATGATCTCTCGCTTAAATAAATCTGGTGACAAATTATTGTTGCGTAAATTGTGAATTAGTAATGCAGGTGTCAGCAAAAGAAAGATAAGAGAGATACATGTATATTATAAGAAATAAGAAAACACGTCGAGTAAAGCCCACACCAATCAAAAGATCCTTATTAAATAAGAGGCCAACCTTATTCTGCCCAATCACAGCATCCGTATCTTCCCAACCGAAGCCTTTACCCACGGCCTCGCACTTAGCTCTTGAATCTTCGTAACGTTCTAACCCCATTGAATCTAATATCGTCGCGTATCTTTCAATAAACTCTTGATGTTGATAGCTCACAACATATTCCACCTGAAGTCTCTTTGCAATCTCTGGTAGTCCGAACGATTTAACCTGGGAGTTCACCACCCTTTGATCAAATTGATTCGGCAGCTGGGTGTCATTAGGTCGAATACAAAAAACATACCAAGGTTGCGTCTCCTCGAGAGTCTCGCATAGTTCATTTAAAGCTGATGCAACTTGAGCGGCAACGCATGTGACCTTTGGTATCGAAGATTCATCGGATGCGGGTGTGTTCTTCTTACGACGCATAGAAGGTGCACGCATGGGTTTAACGGATTGCTGAGCTGCGACAATCGTGTTGCCGTTGCGTGGGTGAGATTCAGTCGCGAAGGCTTTATCGGTGAAAAGATCAGTGATAAAGCCGTTGTTGGAAGGTGCGATTTCACCACCAGTGTCACGAAAGAGTGAGACAAAATCGGCACTGAGATTATCAATGTTTTTTTCTAGGAAACCGGTGGAGCTGTAGGTCACCTGGCCAAAGAAATGTTGAATTCCAAAAGTTGGAAGTGAGTTTAAGCTTTTTCCTGTTGGTCTAAATGAGCTGTGTTCAGAGTATTTCTTGTTAAAGGCATCCAACATGGTTTGGTCCGTTTTACGCGAAGCTTTATTGACTTG